CATTACCCGCCGCATCACTCAGGCTTCCTCTCAAGCCGTAAAAGGAGCTGGCCAAAGCCTATCTGAAACAACTCCCAAAGTTGATGCCGAGGGTGATGTCGAAATCAAGGATGCTCCCAATGTCGAGAATAAATTAGAGGACACCGTCAAAGGCGAGCTTCTAGTGAAAGAGAGCAGTTCATCAATAAGCCCTCCCAACCAAAATGTCAATAGGGTCAACGACGTATACCACACCATCATGGAGCCATTGATGACTTCTGTCACCGCTCTCTTGCCGGACAGCACTTGGAGTGCAATGAGCCCTGACTTCTATGTCACATTCTGGACCTCGACCATGAGTAACTTGAACAGGCCGGACATTCTCTATGACACTGAAATCAAGAAAATACAGGAACAGGAGAGATTGGTTATGAGCGACCGTTCCGACATGAGTCGCTCGGGCATGGCTAAGAAAGAAGAGCAAAGAAAACGTCTAGCTGAGACCCGCGAGGGTATTCTTGCAGAGATGCACAGAGAGGCTAAAGTCTACGCCGAAGGCAGAACTCGTCTCTTAAAACGCAAATCTGGTTGGTTCCATCCCACGCTAAAGGCCGATATTGTCAGTGATGAGCTTCTCGAAAAGTGCCTTATTCCTCGATTACTTCTTTCACCTACCGATGCGGACTTCTCTTTCAGAATGATCAAATTCTTACATGACAATGGCGTGCCGAACTTCAGAACGTTGTCCTTATATGGTCGCATCTTCAGATCGCATCGACTTCGTTCAATGATTTTCACATGTAGTGTTCGAGAGGCGGAAAACTTAGCCCGATTTCTCAAATCGACGCTTACAGATCTACAAAAATGGCACCAGGATGCTACAACATATGAAGAGCAAGCTTGGGGCAAGCGCAAATCCCTAACTGGGTTCGCGAAGGCACTTGAGGCAGACGGAACACCCAAGGCATTGCTCGATTATGATGCAGAGTTTGGATTTAAGAACGTTCTCTTTCAGTGGCACAAGAATTTGAACACGGCACTCCGGGAATGTCTGGAAGGCACAGAATGGATGCACATTCGAAATGCTATCACAGTTCTGAAAACCGTTGGAGATGTTTTCCCTGCAATCGATTTCATGGGAACTGCCTTCATCAAGCAGCTCGAGACCATCACGGCTAGAGAAAAGGATGTTCGCGAGGATCTTTCCTTGACCGGCAACGCTGTCCTTGTACAACTCAAGCAGCGAACCAAGCAATGGGTGATGGTGCAAGCTTTCGGTCATCATCCCGTGAGTCGCAAATTCAACCTCAATTATGAATGAAACCTAATTTGCCACATAGTCAAAGCCTAGTCCTATGAATGGAAGCACCCAAAGGTCATCCTCACAATCAAGAACAAGCACTCCCAGAACGATCCTTAAGCCCACCGCACTGGAGTTTCAACCCAAATCTAGAGCTAGGTTTGTTAACCTCCTATCCTCCCAAGATCTATTTCCTGATTCTATTTTAGTTCCATCGGCGCTTCTGCCGCGAAGCCTGGGGAAGTCGAGGATGGCGAAGTTGATGATACGAAGACAGTTAGCAGTTCGATTATTACTCCGAGAAGCGCACCGGATTCTAAAGCAGTCGTCCCTGCAACACCCGCTCTAGCCCCGCAAAGATCAGAAATTCTTATTAGAAGGGAACAAATTCAGAAGGAGAATGCTGCGAAGGCCCTTGCAGCTAGCCAGTCGCACTCTGGACCACCTCCACGTCCCGACTATCAAAGAGCACCTGCATCGAGCGCACCACCGGATCGAGGCCCACCAAATCGAGGCCCACCAAACCTCCCAAGCCGACCTGATGCGCCGTTTCCCACACAACAACAGCTTGATAGGCATCGCCATCCCGATCGTAGGGATAGTTGGGACTCGCGGCTACCGGAGACGGGGAGGATTGAGAGATCAGGGGATAGAATTCGAGATTTACCTGGGCCGATTCGTCGGGACCAGAGTTTAAGAGAATTTTCCCGGCCCATAGACAGAGGACCTGGCCCTGAGCGTGACCGCGATCGAGGACGACCCGATCCTCCACCACGATGGACTGCTGAGTCTTCCCGCCAAAATGTCGAGAGAGACCTAAATGAAACTCACTCTACCGATAATGCTGGTCGTTTGTCTCGGGATGGTGTAATGCCGCCACCCAGATCATCTGGCCTTCAAGGAGATCGTGGACCTCCTATAAATCCTGATAGGCTCCCCAATATTAATCCAGAGAGACAAGAACTCGTCAATCCGGAGAGAGCCGCTCTTATTTCGTCCTCAGATCCTCGCTCCGAGTCCCCGCGTCGTCGAGATGACCAGCGAGAGCGTCCTTCGCCGAGAACAATGTCACCAAGGCGGCATGCCTCAGACAGAGACTTCCCGGAATCAAGACGAGATGAGCGCTTTACTCGTGGTCCGCATTCCGAAAACAACACTCCTTCTCGGGGCCGAATTGAGGATGTTTTGAGCACTCCTTCTGGTCCTCGCATTGATAGGGCTCTAGAACGACTCCCCGAGAGGAATGATAGATCGCCATTCCAACCGACTCCTCATTCTCGCTCAGTCGATCCCGATCATGGGAGACTGAACGCAGGCAGTCGCCAGCAAGGAGTAGATCCCAATTTCGGTCGACTGAATCCCGTGCCTGCATCAGATATACCCTCGGGTCCAAGAGATAGACATGGTCGAGGCAACCGTGCTCCAGCAGGCAATGGCCCTCGTGGAGATATTCGAGCACCTCCAGAGCAGCAAATTCCTCGCCCTCCAACGCCAGACAAGCCTCCACCAACTGGCCCTTCGAATCGACTCTCAACACGTTCGGCCTCGGGGCAGTTTGACAATATCTTATCTCAAGCCAGCTCTGCACCTGCCACACCAACTGCGGGGCCCACTGCCTCCGGTGTACACCCAGAGAGGTTGAAGCACCTGGACCCTCAAGCTCAAGCTCAAGCTCTTCCCCCACTCATTCAGCATGAGAGACCAAACAGGATTGGGGGTGATGGCACAGCCATTCCTCCACTAGCTACAACCAATCAAGCTGGCAGTCACCATTCAAGACCTTCTGTTCCGTCACTCAACACTGCTGGAAATCCTCCGTTGGGGCCTAAAGGATCTCAATCAAGCCCTATTGCCTCAGGATCGAACGGCTTGGCGCCACCAACTGGTCCTGCATCTGCTCAAGAACGTGCACGTGGGGGGAGAAGACAACTTGTTGGCATAAACAATACGCTTCAACAAGCTGTTCAACAGAACGGGCCGATTAATGTTCGAGGTCGGGGCAGAGTGAGTGGTGGTGGTCAACAAGAGTCGCCAATATTCGCTCCTCCAAATCAGATCCCTCCTCTCCTCCCAGGAAAACCTCCCAACCGAACGATGCCTAGAGACAATGGTCGAGATATGGTCAATCCTGAGCGCCTCGACTTGTTTACCAACAATGAGACCCCGAACGAAGACAAGGACAAAGATCGGGGAAGCCGAAGAGAGCGGTCAGGACGCCATAGCCGTAGGGGCTCTCGAAGTCCTGATCGGACTAGGGATTTTAAGCGTGGTCCGGTGGAGGATGATCGTCCATCAAGAAGTGATCATCGGGAGCGAAGGGGAGAGCGTGATGCTGATCGAGAACGACATTCGGGCCGCTCACCACATCATACTCAGTTGACAGCCAGAGAGCCAGGCGGGAGCTCTAGAGAAAGCGGTCGAGAGGGCCATAGGGAAAGAGAGTCTGGGCGACGTGATGGTAAGGAACGAGATACCCCAGATGATGCCCCTTGGGGAGGTGAGAGAGGTCCAGAGAGAAATGCAGGTGGTAGGAGCAGAGACAACCGTGGAGGTGAGGAGCGACTAGGTGGTGGTCGTGGAGGCGATGAACGCCGAGGTGGTGGACGTGATTCTCATGGGAACCGAGGAGATGACAGCGGAAGAAAACGACGCGGAGAAGAGACCGGCTTGGACTCGAGGGGTCACGACAAAAGACCTCGTCGCCTCTAAGGGAAAGCGCAGGCAATGTTTTGTACGATTTTTGTGTATTTGATGGAACATCATGGTTTTCCTTATTTATCTTTGCTTGCATTGGAGCGGGTTTTTTCGCATGCGCAGCTGGCACATACAATTGGGCATTTTTATGGCGAGATGATGGTTTTTTTTACAGAATCAAGATAGGTTTGGCGAGACACCTGCAGTAATCTCTACTTGTCTTTTACTTTTGAAAAAGAGATTATTATGCTTTGTAATTCAAGTACTCTCCCTACATTAGCATGATGGAGAATGGAAGATCGTTGACAACCAAAGTTTCATCATCAGTTTGTGAATAGTTGCGGCTCAAGAGAGTGTTCTTGATAGGTCATACGTACAACCCTACGGATCTAGCATGTTAGTTTCCACTTTTGTGATTCGGTGAGGTGCGAGGCACAGTGGAATCGTCGTCCGCTGCTATGGCGGGAGATTGTCATTGGGTGTAGAACAAATGCTGTGTTGTAGACTTGGGTTTTCCTGATATAGTCAACGGTGTCTAAGAGAAAGAATCGATCGATAGGGTTGAGTTTTTTGGGGGGGATCGCCCTTGCATTTTAAGATAGCGGCCATCTAGAACACCATTTCGGGGCGTATTAATATGGCACTGTGAGTGGGTTTGACCTCAGAAGAAGAGCGGAAAGACGACCAAGGTCCGAATTCATAGCTTGCAAATTAATTCAAGGTCGTGTAAGAAGATGCTGGACCTCCACTCTACACAGCTACGTCTCTTCCAGCGAATTTGATCGAAGATCAAAATCTAGAGACGGCGGGCAGACAACGTTGCGAATCGAGATACTTTGGGGGTTGGAAGATATACATGTACAGGAATTTGGTCTGAAGTGTCTGCTTAATGCAATGAGCATAATTGAATGCAATACACAAGGGTTGAGGGGTTGAGAGTGAGGACTTATCGAGAATGATTCGCAGAGCAATGCCGCTCATGTATTTCCGGAAGAGAACAACAACAAAAGTCAAAAAAGAGAACGAGTGCCCTCGGACGGAATCGAACCGGCAACCTCGTCATTACTACACTCCTGGGTCGAACCCGATTTTGAGTACTACTAGTGACGCGCTCTACCATTGAGCTACGAGGGCATATTAAATCTCGCCGAGAGCTTTCAAAGGCGTTTGATTGGATGGAAGCGAAACACAGTTTCAGCTTATGGAGAAGTCGGGACAGAGTGATATTGATATTGATATGATTGGCTGAAGACTCGGATGTGGGGTTGAAGTGGCACTTTGGAAAACTTCAACTTTACTTCGTATACTCTATCAACCACCCCTTCATTCCACTCTGTTTACCCTTCGCCAACAACGAAATGATATCTACTCCTTAGAATCTATTGCATTCAAATGCGGCTTCTTTGTGATTAGATCGCTTTGGTCTCGGGAGGTTTTCAGACTCTGTGCGTCGTAACCTTTTTTAGGATTTGAAAATTTCTTCTAATGTCTCCAGGACCCGGGATTCACCTATGAACATCCACAAGTCATGTTACGATACCAATCCCAAATGGGGTTCCCCTCCTGTTTGTGCAGTCGCCAATTCTAATCTAGCTACTCCGTTGCGAGCTGAGAGTCCAGCTGTTCGCGAGGCATTTCTTTTCACCACCAAACCCACTGCATATCTCACTCATTCCAGCGATATCAGTCCCCCATTGTGCCCCCATTCTCTCTGCGAATTCCCACTGTTCTCCTCAGATCAGATCATCCTCAAACATGGGGCGATTTCCCTTGCCATCGTGCAAACCAACCAGAAAGATTGGAGTTTTCCCTTTTCCTTGTGAGTCGTCACCTCGTGGGATGCCGCGATGGAAATTCTTGGGACGAAAGTGGACGAAAGCCTATTTCATATAATAGTGTTTGGATCGCAGGCTACGTCCGAGCCAGCCTATCCTCGAACATTCCCTTCCTGGTCCTCTGCTGGTGCCAGGAACCAATACCCAAAAATCAGAGCAGGTGGCCCCCATCATTGAAGTGCTTCAGGAAAGGCAATAGCGTTTAGAGGCTCAACGCCAGGTCGAGGAAAAGCAAGGGGGAATCGAGCTCCCGTTAGAGAGCGCAGGCAGGGTCATTCACATCCATAGTTGTAGAGGTTGTAGAGAGTAGAGAGTGCAAAGAATAGATAGGTGGATAAATATGGCTAGGACCCACTAGATATATGGAATGGACAACACCAAAAATAGAGATCTCAGACTTCAGTATATTAAAGGAATATAATACTTTGGCATCATACGTCTAAGCCTCGTACTGGTTTGTTGCCAGAATATCATATTTCTTTTGATGCACTGACTAGAAGATGTTAGAATAGACGACTAATTAAAAACATTATGATCTAATTCGTAAATCTATGTTATTTGTATATAATATGCCTTGGATACCAATTTTGAAAAACTCTCCAGGCGAACTCATTTCCTTAGCCGCCTCCCGAATTTGTTCCCGCGATCCTTGGCCTAGCTCAATTGGCAGTACACCAATCATCTACAAACCCAACACTAGCCATCATTGTGGTGCACGTCGCCGAGTCACTACCGACCAGATTCTTCTTGTTCAAATTGGATGTCGTTCCTAAATTCATAACTGAATTTGGAGAGGACCCCTTCTACCTAGTCAAAGTTGACAATGACACTTGAGAATAGATGCTCTTGTGATGTCGATTTCTAGTCATGGTCAATGCCTCAACGTTCAAGAACTTTACGAATGAAGTCAAGTTCGTCTAATAATAATCATCATAATAAGACTACTTGGAGCTCGTCTCGATATGTTCCGGCCTCTGACCGAAACTTTTTTCATGTTTTTTTTTATAGCCAGAATTTGCATCAAGATGTCTTGTTTTTCTTTGTTCCAGCAGCAAAGCTTGTAGAAGATTCTAAGTTAGAAGGTAAGATGTGACATATGATTTCTTTGTTCCAGTAGCAAAACTTGTAGAAGTTTCTAAATCAGAAGGTAAGATGCGACATATGCTTTCTTGTTCACTGAAGTATGAAATGCATTTGAGAGAAGCGTTTACCTTTCATTCTTCAATTAAACTTTCGATCCATTCTCAAAATCAACAGATTCACCACAACGATTTCAAAACTTGAGAACGGAACTGCATAAAGCAAGATGGGAAACTGTAGTAATTGCGGTTTAAATTATATTATTCAGCACATTCAAACGGAAGGGCGGAAATGTGATTCTTGTAAAAAGCGACTACCAGAAACTGCTGTTAGCCTCCCTCTACACTAAGATCTACTATCATGTAGAAAAGCTAACAAACTTTCTGTAGTTGATTAATATACCTCTCGCATCTAGTTTCAACGGTACTCAACCTCAAGGCAAAGATACGACAAGTGCAAGCAAACGTTAATCATTTTTCTATGACGCAAAACACACCACTAGGGATGAGAGCTAGGATGTCTCTGAGGAACTTGGAGAATCTGGGCATCACAGGAGAATAGACTTGTTCAGAATTAAATGAATCAACCTCAATTTTGTAACATTCAATGAGCCGCGCAAAAGTAATATTTTGAATTACAAAATTAAAACCCAAAAACAAACGCCCAAGTATTCTGCGTCCCCCCATTCCCCAAAAGCATCTAGGCGGAATAGTATGAAAATACCACTTGACTTTTTGTTTCGTTTTTTTGGAGATCCTCCAACTAACTTCAACGGAAAATTAAAACCCAAAGACAAACGAGCAAGTATTCTGCTTCCCCCTACTCCCCCAAAGTATACCCAGGTGGTAAACGTTCACAACATAGTTCCTCACCAGGCGGAATGGTATGAAAATACCAATTGGAAAGTTTGTCTCTCTTTTTGGCATCCTTCAACTCCAACGGAAATCCTGCTTTCACACAAGCGTTCGACAACATCCATTTCCACTCGTTGGATTCGCTCAAAGATGCTCCAACATTCAAAGCATACCGTGGCCATTCTCTAGGCAGGGTGGCCACCCGATATTTAGGAAAGTAACCTAAATCGAACCAATTCATGATACTTGTCACTTTGGGCATCTCATCGGTGTCGGAAGGTACCGTTACACGAAAAGCATCTGGGCCTAGACCGCCGATTTGTAAAACGAAGGGTTCCTTGGACTTGGTAAAATTCAAGTCGCCGTATTTTCTTGTTTGGAACTTAAAAAAATCTTCTCGAGAGACTCGTGGTTCAACGACAGGATCCCAATACGATGCTGGTTCTCGTTTCCGGATACAGTATGCTCCTGAGAGTCCGGTCCCTTGAACTGACTGGATGTAATCTGAAGTCATAGTAGCTAGGGTTGTGCAATGCTCGGCGACTTGATCTGCAACGCTAAGCCTCTGTTTCATATTGAGATTTGGCCATGCGTGATCATAAAATACCCCAGGACCTGTTTTGGTAATGTGTGTGCACCTATTCCATTCTGCATCGACCCAGTCGTATATAAGCTCCTCTGTTGGCACCGATGGAAAATGAGTATTAACGAATCGAATATTCGCAGCTTCTGTTGTGATGCCTTCGACCCAGAGATCGACCTTGCAAAACACATTCGGACTAAGCTGCCACACTAAATAACCTCGTCCACTATCCCTTTTGAGAGGAAGATATTCCCCGACTTCATTTTTTGGCCTTGGAGTTTTTCCTTTCCGTATACAATACTTTTCCTCCTGATCAACCCACGTGCAGACCACGCCTGGTGGCGTCTCCATTCCATGTTTAAGTTTCTCGGCAATCATCATGGGACCAATGCTCCAGCGATCAGGAGCCAGTAGGATTATAGTTTCGAAGGGTTGAGGTACTAAAGCTATGTCAAGGCTCGTCAGCAACCGTGGGATTTCGACTAGAGGGTCAGGCGGAGGCGCTTGGCGATGTGGATCATAATAGCTATGACTGATTAGTATAGTGGCACAGATGGGGAAGATTAAATTTACTCCGCCATGCTGAATTTCATTAGTATAGCAGCGTAGAATGGGAAGATGAAACCTACTTAAAGTCCATGCTGAATTACGATTTATCCTCTAGCTAAAATACGTTTGAGTGAATGGTAGAATAATCTTAATTGTTCTCAACTATTCGAAGGACAAATAGATAAATGTACTAACATGTCGAAATGGAGGTGTAAACCACCGACTTATAGGCCAAATGGAACAAATAGAACAAAGAGTTTTAACAGCTCCGTGAATCCTTTCCTAAAGCAAAATTCTCGCTATAGAAAGAACGCCTCGCATTTTAATGAAAGAGAACATTCCTATCAGAAAGCCTAACCTTGGCGACATATGGAGTTAAGTCTCAACCTCACAACTTAACTGGGGGGAAATTATTTCTTTGAGCAAAAACTCAGGCGCATTTAAATTCACTCGCCGTCTCCAAACTTGATCAAAGAGAACTCATATTATACCAATGACTAGTTTGGTTAGTGAGATTTAGCGCCATACGAGGTAGGGTTTAGATCTAATAAAGGTCTTTGTCAAGACCTCAGTCATTACCATCGCAGAGGGAACAGGTCAACTCGATAGGTGGTCAGATTAGTGCAACGGCGGGTGCCTTCAAAAGGCTGCAAGCGGCTGGGACGATCACTCCTTTGAATAGAATAGTCAAGATTGCGATTCGAGATCAGGTATCTGATGCGACTCTCTCCGTGGCTGTATCACATCGAGATTTCCTGCGTCGGCGAAAGCTCGCAATGTACTGGCAAGCGCGAGAGCCCTGTTCAAGCAAAAAAGCACAAGACTTACGAGTTACAAGGTTGCATCCTTCAAAGTAGTTAGGGGTTTCGCTTATTTTCTCCCCCTTGGCCATTGTGAAAGAACAATGTTGGCGAGCATATTTGTAGCACCGCACCTTTCGACATTTTTTCGCTCCTTTGTCGGCCAATGATATCAGAAATACCGTTTCGTTGCCGGTGGATTTCCAACTCCTGGCATTCTTTCTTGCTACTAGTATTGCAACGAGTTTCAAGTCGGAAATCAATGATTCTTTATTTATTGGTGCAGTTTGTAGTAGTCGGGTTTGAATTGGTGCCACCAAGCCTCAAGGGTTGCCCAGCTATATTCTTGTCGTATCCTGTGAATGTGCTAAGATCGACCATTTGCAGAAGCAAGCAAGGACAAGAAAGAAATCACTCGAGTATGGCTCCTGAC